TCGACATTTGCTTGCTGCTCCTCGGCTCATTGTATATAGCGCCGATGCCATTGCTTTTCTGTTGAAAATAAGGTAAACGCATCGAAAGACAGACACTTACTTTAGAGTTTGTAATCCGTTTTCCGAGAAAAAGCCACTTAGTTCTGTGTTCTATAGTTGCGAATGGCCGGCCGGCGGCAATTCGAAATGTATGCCCTCTCAACTGATGCGCACCTTGCCGGCCATAAAATCTAAATTATCTTTTAGCTTATATCTATATGTGAAACTGGGTTTATTAACGAATTTCTGCAGTGTCCTGAGCAACGCTTTCGTAGGAAATTTCGCTTTACGGATTAATGTTGGCTTTCTTTATTCGGATGTCTTCGTTTCATCAATCGGTAACATGGCGATTTTCTTTCAATGTATCGTTGCCTTCTAGTGCATCGATGGCTTACAGTGCTGTCGTTTTTGATTAGGCCTTGCATATGGTCTAGAATCCCTACAGAATCGATGGGTTCAAAGTAACGGCTCATGTAAATCCACTTGATAGTCAGCCTATGTATGCATACGACTCACGTTGCTATAGACACTTAACCGGTTCATGATGGACGGGCACTGTCATTAAGTACATGATGAGGCGCAAAGATCGGGATACTTCTAGGGCGGATATTACTCCTGTCTGGGACAATCTAACCAGCTATTCTACCTGCACGTTTACGCGTACTACAGACTGACTTTTCATACCCAGTGTTCAATCTGCGATCTATGGGGCATCCGGTGAAATCTAATATTGTTGTTTCTTTGCCGTGACACTTCTCACCTGTATCGAAAAAACATCTTTGTTATTTTTTCTAGTTACCACATTCTGATTTTTGATGTCGAGGACAGAGATATTTAGCAGCTTTGGCGATGCGTCTACGCGCTGCCATTAGCCGCCTTACCAACAATATAGGCCATTTTTCCAGATAATCTTACTACATACTAAGAATGATGATAATGTATCGATTATATCGAATAGGAGCAACAAGCGAAATGGTCGATAACAACTGGCAAAGCTCGGTAAGTCGATTCCGACCTTCAGTGACAAGATCAGCCCTTGCTAATTGCAGATATCAGAACAGCCAAAATTCATTGTTATTATAGGCATAATAACTCATAATACGATAACGCGCCAATACTTAGAGATATCGGAAAATAAACTGGATATGCAATCACATAGGATTCTTTTCGTAGCCGTTTGTTCCACTGTTTCCGTACGAGACGAAACGCCGATCACGCTTTGATGTATTCGTCGTGGATGATCTGGTTGATTATTTGTTTGTAGAAGGCTCGGCCCCAATATTTGCTATTTGCGGTACAAAGAAAAGGCATTTCTGTTATTGCTGGTATGCACAGAGGTTGAAGTGCCCCTCATGGACATTACAGTCATCCGTAAGGCCACGTAGGGATCAGCTGATAGCAGAAATATCGCAGCGGTTCCGACGATCGGTTGTTTTTGCCACCATCACCAAGAAACAGTTTGCCGCCTGTGCAGATTAGCGCTATCCCGGTGTCACTAATCCATCAAGAACCCAAACGGGTGCGTTACTACCCTGCTGTCAGCCACTTCGATGGGGAACTGCTAAGATCACCCCTTCGGCTACTGCCGGCAACTCCGTGGACTGTTCCAATCGCCATTGCTGGACTTCTTCTGACAGTTTTAATAATGTTGTTGTTGTTGTTGGGGCTGCCGATGTGCCTCTAGCTGATAAGATAAACTGAATGCAACAAATCAGGCGACGGAGTTCCCCAGTCGATTTCTGTATAAGACTTAGCACCGTCATCAATTGAGCACGCACTTTTCGTACAGCTGTATGAACAGTTATGTTGGTATACCCTTGGCATTCGTAGCGCTGTGAGACTCGTGTCGAAGGTAAATCCCGAGACTTTCTTATCGTGTCGTATCGCATTGCTTTACCGACGCTGACGACGATCGTACGCCGTCGGTTAGCCGCGTCTATTTTTTTTTGGCCTTCCTGACCGCGGGCAAGTCTGCTTTCGAGTGAGCATCACAACTATGTACGCGACTGCCTGCATTTAGTAACAATAAGAAGAATAATAATCAATTATAATTCTACTACTGGTTACCATATTACTTGCCGTTGCCTTTCGCACGGAGCAGTTGAAGTTTCGTCACGCTTAAGATCATGAAAACCATGAACGGCATCGTTATTATCATTGTCATTAAAGTTATAATTATCGCATCACAATCGACATGTTTAGAACGTTAGTAAACTATGAAGTGATTTTCCTAATAGTGTGTGTAGATCAATTGTGTCGTTCCCGCGTACAGATGTATATATTTGCTTTCTTTTGTTTGTGTCCTAGTTAGTGTGATTGGCCAATAATCCTGAAGATTTTTTGGTGTTTTTTTGTTTTCCTTTCTTTCGTATTGCTACAAAAATACGCGAACGCAGGCAAACGTCGGTTAGCAGTCTTGAGTCAAATGGTCAATCAGCATTTGCGTTCGCTTCTTGCACTATGGGCAAATGTCAGCTAGCCCATTGGCGTGTTTTGCCTTTCACAATCTTCTTAAAATGGACGTCAAAGGCGCTTATCGTACATGCCGCTCCGTTGGCGCTTCCAGTTAACCCTCCAGCAGCAATAGGGGTAGTGTTGTTTCCCCCGTAACTCACGGCAGAAAGATCCGCCTACATACTGTTCGTAGCGCGTATCCTACTTATTTGCTGTACGAACTAAAGGCGTTCCCACGGCTAGCTCCACATACGCGACTGGCCCCCAACTAAGCGTTCGCCGTCGGGCCACTCTACCCGAACTCGCCTTTTCTGTCTGTTCATTTGTGCATCACCCACACGTCTCCCTCCATCTTTAGAGTCAGTATTGATATGAAGTCTATGTCGATCTGAAGAGCACATCCGCTTCTCGGATTTCCCTTGCGCTAAGTAGCCGCAGTATCGGGCTGGTGGTACTTGTTCCGCCGATAAACCGCACGAACCGATGCGTGGATTCATCTGAAAAGCCGGAGATGCACTGACAGACATATCGTGTACGGTGGCACCGATATGGTTAGCAGATAACAAGCATGCCACCAGATACCGTGACGCTGGCGGCTGCCGCTGCTGCTGCTGTTCCTACTCCTGTCGCCGAGCGACCGTGGCCATTGTCGTGGTCGCGGTCGCCGCTACAAAGCAACAACTAACTACTATCGTCATGTCAACGCCATCAGTCGCAGCAGCAGCAGCAGCAGCAGCAGCACGACACCCAGTTAAATGCCCTGGTCGGTGCAGAGGTGGAGGAAGATACTAAATGCCGAGTGTGGGAAATGAGCGTGAAGTCTTTGCCGAAGTGTGCCCAGTGCAGGCGACGGGCAGGCAAGAAATGGACGGTAGACGGTCATTTGTTTAAATTGTCCTCCTAAAAAGTAGGGGAAATGACCAGTATACGTCAGTTAGCGTAAGCAAATTTATCAAGTTTCGACTGTCGATTATTATAGTTCAAATTCCTGTAGTGGGTTCCGCCGGAGCACACTATTAGGCTATCCCTCCTATATACCTTTACCAGTGACGACAGCAGCCAGCAACGATCTGTGCGGTTGTAACCAATGGCGAGTTATTGAGAATCACCTCAGTTACGTGCTAACGGACTGCTATACTGTGCGTTGGCTACGTCATCTCTCTCTCTCTCTCTCTCTCTCTCTCTCCTGTCTCTGACGTTAATATATCTTGTTTGCCCACTACTGATCCGGTACGTAGCAGATAGCTACTGCTGCTAAATACACCCATCTGCTGGCATTTCGGATGCTGATGTAGGCGACCCTACACTTGCTCAGAGGCACTCATTCTGGTAGGCGAGAGCTGATGCAATCGGTTCAGTCGGTACCTTAGGGAGGAGTTGGGATTTTAACAGGGAAAAACATCTACAACAACATATGACAGTAGGTGAAGCGATTTGTCCGCCGCAGGATGCCCACTACAGGCGAGGGGCACGCGAGAAATATATGCTAGACCTTCGTTAGTTCGAATCGTCCTTTTAAATAGGGGAAATGAAGCATATACATCAGTCAGCGTTGGCAAAATGGGTTAGGGAATCTCGTCGCTCGCGCTTATTTGTATCGTTTTCGATCGTTTGTCACTAAGACTAGACTTAGCAGTACTTATCCGGTACACGAGATGTTTATGTTGGTATTTATTGACGAACGTTGGATGGCGACCCTAAGTTCACCCTCCGTTGGAAATTCGGCAAGTAAATTACTGAACTGTGACCTCGCGATAAACTATGTTCTATGTGAAAACCAACGCGTCGACCTATGTAACAGAAAAATGCGCTGTTTAGGATCTTTACGGCGACTCATTCCACGAAGTCAGATGAAAACCCACTCGACTCCCTACATAATTTTTTCTGCGACAAACAATTCCGCCTGTTCTTTAGTAACGTTGGTAACGAAAAAAAAAAAAAAAGGTTATACTCAGTATTAATAATAATCAGTTATACAGGCGGACATTGGTAACAGGTAATGTGTTCGATACGTGAATCTGGTTCTTAGCTCATCGCCCGTCAAACCGCTAGATGCTTTAGTAGGCCATAACACAGTATAAACATTACGCCTTTTGCATCAGCTGTTTTCGTCAACCAGTTAATCTCGTGCTTGGCCCTCGTATCGATTCCGAAACATCTTGCAAGGTAATTAGTCAATTCAGGCTTACCGACTCCCATATCAAACGTTCATGTCATATTACGTTCAAGACCCCGTTTTCTCTAACAGCAAGCGTGAAATACGCCTCATCTCCAAGTAGCAAGCCGAAGTTTCTTGACAAAAATTGACACGATACATACGCAAAGGATACCATGTAAGCTAGCAAGTGAAATCGAGATTTATTGGATGTCTTCCGTTGCCTACCATCAGGCCTAGATATAGGCAACTATATGGACGAGACGACATTTTCCCTGTTTCAGTGGCGCACTTGCCTAAGCACGTTTCTATAGGATCCGACGAATAAGACGACTTGAATAAATGTACTTACCCATCGTGTGATAAGAAGAGGAACCTGACAGGAGCCTCGGGCAGCTGACAAAGCAATGCTCGACGCACCTCATCGCCGGGCATCTGCTCGTCTTGTTTGTCAAGCAGGATCGAGCCGAGTATTGTAACACCATGTTGATGATCCTGGCTCCATCGGGCTAAATCCGCGATAAATTTGACGCCGATGACGAGACGCGGCTCGCGAATTAGCTCACCGCTCTCTGTATCTGAATTAGTGACAGCTGTTGTGCGGCATATCTTGTGTTGAATATCTGCTACCCCGCCGGATACGTAATCAGCCATGTCACCACCGTCCGTTACTCTGACAATGTTGTATAGTGAAGGGCAGAGAAAGAGGTGAATAAAACGAATTTCGTTAAAGCGCATTCCGTCCGAAAAAATCCTATCTTTTGTAAAGCTAACGAATATTATTCATTGTTAAATAGCTTACTTAACTGGCAAGTTTGCAGTTGGCAACTTACGTCAATGTTAACTGACAACATCTCACGGATAAACTTTCACTCAGTGTCGCAGTGGGTTTGGAGTGGTTAGAGCTGTACGCCACTGATTGTTACTTATACGGTATGTTAAATAAATTTGATATCTAATATACCCAGAAGAGAAAAAAAAGTACACCGAAATTCCAACATTAACGCGCTTGAATGTATTATTATGATTCATTTTAATATTGTTCAGTCACTGAGAAACACAAATGACATACAATGATATCGTTGAAGCAGCCATGTCCACCCCAAAACATACCGCGGGTCACGAAATTGTCTTGACTTGACAAAGCAGGAACCACAACAACGATTACACAGAGTCCTGTTGAGGGTTGCCGGCACCAAGCACTCTTTTTTTTTCCACCACAACTCGCCAACTAATAGTCTGAGCCAGTTTCACTACAGCCACATGGTTCGAACTGCAGGTCAACTGTTTATCAACAATGGACACATCAAAAATAGGCGCACCGCTCAGTATTACTTATCCATAAACCAAATACCCTGTGTTTGTAACTGTTTTTTTAATTGTTACTTCAACGACTATCATCGATCTTATTCAATTTTTGCTCAAACGACGGCAGACCACCATCGGTATAGACAACGGTGTCTTTGCCACCCTCTCTTCTTATGTCAATATCTGTAGCAAAATCGTTGTTTTCCTGATAATGATATTGGGTTCAACGTCGTGGGTCATCGCCGTCGCTATCAGTTGTCTAATCTTTCGTGGATGCTGCTGAGCTGATAGCTCTCTGTTATGGCGATAATTGCAAGTATTACAATATCTGTTGACAGCAGCCATGCGAACTTGCTTGGTAAGTTTGCCATTATAAGTTCCGCGCGTTACGAGTAGTAGGATAGGTGAACTTCTCTAGTAGAACACTGTCCAGTAGAATAACCTCGTGTTTATTTTTTTTCAAAGCTTCGACATTTTTCGCAGCAAGGCCATGCGTAGGCGACCGATTCGGCGGTTCTAGCGCAAGCAAATATCCCATTCAAGAACTGTAGTCATCAACAAGGTACTGCATAAACCGTCGCATCGTATAGGCCACGATAAAGATCCATGAACTTTTTCGGCACTCGTAACAAAGCTAAAGGCTGTTGTTTTCATTTTAACGGGCTCGTATAAACAGCACGAAGTGGATCACTTCGTACAACTGTTCATAAAAAAACAATACTGATTTGATGTTGTTGGGCAATTAGTACTCGGAGCATGCCTCATTTATAAATCTCTATCGATCTTTTGATGAAGGATGCAACTGAAGGCCCTATGCCACAAAACAACTCGTGACAGAGGTCTTTGGCAAAGATGCCTTCTACAACCGATGGCCTAAATAGTTAGGCTAAAACAATCATTTCCTGTGCTCTGGTTCTTGTTGATCTTGCTTAGCTATCTCCTTTAACTTAAAGTTGACAATGCTATCGAAATAGCAGCACAGACAAACTGGTACATATACACGCAGCGGAAACATTTGATCTTCATTAACGCTACCACTCGAATAATTCATGATATGTAGTGATGCTAGCGTTACCCACTGTCGCTATGGCGAAGTTCTCCCTCATAATCCGAGAGATCCTTTGTCCTTTCAAAATAGACCATCCTTTTTTTATTTGCAGCATATATTGTAGAAGTGATAGTACAGCATCAGTCGAAACATGGCTCGCTACGTTAGTAATATCGCCCTGAGTTCATATCAGTGTGAGTGAGCTATACCGGTGGTGCGATCACTAGTACCCAGCGTAGTAGATATATGACTGCTTCTCTCGTTCGACGTTCCATATGAAACTCCCATCTGTATTCGAGAAATACCGTATTCCGGTATGATAAGCAAGATAAGGGAACTTGCCGTTTATTTTGGTAAGTTGAAGCAAGCCTGTAGTAGCTGGAAGAATTACTAAGGGGGGCACGTGTGAGAGCATTATTATTATTGTCCAATGACCTGTGATACTAGCAGAGAATTGTTCACTCGCGACGCGGCTGGCAGCTGGACCAGATCCGACTGACCTCTTCACTTTTGAACCGATTTACAGGTATGTATTATTTACCTAAACTATCGTGTTTCTCAGTAGTCAGTCCGTACAGACGAACGGTTTCAATAGTGGCAGCCTCTGCGGCTAGCAGTTTTTGCGGGGTACGCGTGTCTATCATTGCAAATGATGACTCGCGCATATATAGCAAGACAGATTTTGGAGAAATATGAGCCTGCATTGTGCCACAATGCATTTCTAGTAGAAACTTTCAGAAGAATCATAAATATGGCTTTAAACAATCTTGGATCTATCGCTTGTTTCTGCGGAGGACTGCTTCTAGTTACATAATTCAGTGAGTTGCGATAGGTAAATCTGGGTCTGCATCTTTGTGTTAAGCTGTTAAAACACATACATGCAATATTCTTACCTGTGATTACATAACGCAGGGAATGTGTGGAGGATAACTTCGAAATTTGCTAGTGCGATGGGAGCAAGGACAATTTTTATTACTATCTTAACCCCGCTGCAAAGGTAAAACAAGCCTGCTAGTATTAGGTAGATGGTGTCATTAATCACTGTGGAAGGACAACTGGCTGTGTGTATTTTTTCATTTCATCGACAGTGCCGTATATAGAAATTGGCCTAGCAAAAGTCGACATCGTTCTGCACACCTATAAGCCGACGCAATCATATGGTAAACAAGCCCAAAAAGCTAAACTTCTCAGTCGCTGAAATCAGCGAGATTGTAGACTTATCAGCATCGTCAGTCAGCCGTCCTCTCTCGTACACTCCATTGGATAACGATTAATCCCTTCTAATTTAGTAAATAGCTTCCATCACATTCCTAGTCCTCAGATTAGCTAATTGCGAGGTTCCACCTTTAGATATACCTATATATATGTCCTTTATGCAAATACAGAGACACATCAGCAGACCTCCGAAAATCACTTATCGCCTACACTTGGTTCGAGCAACGAAACACCTGATGCCGAGTTTTCTGTCCTCGATAATCAGGCACACGGACAAAACATCGGGGGCCTTTAAATGAAGGTCAGTCACATCAAAAATTAGCGCAATAAATTGCGCAAATTTTTAATGTAATTTACGCAAGCGCGGACTTTGTTCGGGCGCTTTAGAAACTACACAGTTGTTAGCAATGGCTTGACGATTTACGTGTTCTGCTTTTTCCCCGCCACCATTTAGCCACTACTGGTATCACACGGAAATCGCATTGCCGCTGGCTCGTGCGCCCGACCTGCCGATAAACTGCTCAACAATGTAACTCAAATTGCCTTCAAATCAATTGCCTTCAGAGATAATAGAGCATCATAAATGATGTCGACCTGATATAATACGATAGTGAAACAAAGCACATACGAAATAAAGTCGATCAGCTAATCTACTAAGAAGAAAGCACACCTCTAAAGCTAAAGAAATTTTGGTAGATGATTCGTCTGTGTTATTTCTATGCTTTAGCGGGCGATGAAAAACAAGCTTGTACGGTTAGAAAAAGCAAGTATAACCAGGGAGCTAGAATGCTCCTTTTCCTAACTTGAATGCTTTACGTGCAACAATTATTATGCAGCTAAAAGAGCTTATGAGCAAGGGCTTTATATTGTTGACATATTGCAAACACATAGACGGAGTAGGTTGCCTCGAGTTACTGAGTGCATTTACTATCTAACGGTCACAGCATATTGCGGCACGCTGTGCCCTTAGTTGTACCGCAATTTTTACCGCGTAATTGCGGTAAAAATTGCGGTGTTTTTGATGGTAACAAGCTTGAATGTTTTGCCTTACTTCACGCGATGTTGATATTACGCTTATGAAGTAACGATCGCGTACTATTATCAGCTTTGTTACGCATAAATGGCCGCCGTCGACATGTGCTGCACAAGCACATTGTGCGCGTGCCTGTACACGTATCTGTGTGTCGACTAAGAATGGAATTCTAGATAATCAATTCGATCAGTGCTTTTTACAGGTAGAATGGACGAAACGGTACGGTCAATAAGGAGATCAGGCCAATTTTCGCATGCAGAGGTAGAAGAGTACATTATCTAAGTATATGCGCAACACGATGCATACATATATGTCTTCGTTGATATGCGGTCGTATGTCCATCTGTTAAAGAAAATTAATAGATTAAAATTTTCGATATTCAAAAACATACGAACGGTACGCTATTGCACTTGCAGTCTGCTAGTATGTGCCGCCAAATGTTTTGTTTATCTACTGAATCCAGATAGCCGCTGTTATCACAATGATCACTCCACAAATCGACGATCATACAGATTGTAGATTCACACCAATTTGTCATCGGTCGCCGATATTTAGTCGGACCTACGTTGCGTCCACTTAACCTACTCAGGACAAGAAGACGACCAGTGATAATTCGAAGTGACATTGATAGTAATTCCGCGCAGGTTCGCCAGCTGAACACCTAGGTACCTAATCAACTTCTATTTAGTCTTTTAACTTGAATTGACTACGTCCAGAGCAACGAGCTGCTCAGTAACTAAACTTAGTTTATAACAAAACGGTAAGATGTTAAATACTGCTTGGTGTACGTGGATCTTGAAAACACTGAATTGATATACAGATACAGGACAAACAGGATCAACCTGTATTTACTTTATGATCAGCTACTACTGAGACTTGACGAGTTTCTAGGAGATGAATTATGTAATTTTCTTTTCTACCGTACACCCATTTATCAACCGTTCGGTTAAACTAGGTCGGACCATTTAATCTATGGCAAAAGCTACCATTACGAGGAGACACACGTCTGTTCGGTCAAGATAACGGCAATGCTTATTTTGTAATAGTCTATTAACAGTTGTTACCAGTAGTTGATTGATTGATTGGTCCCTCCTTAACAACGTCATTTCCCATTTTTTCCTTTCCGCTACAGGCGAATCAGTCCCGATTGCCTCTGATTTTGGCGTCAGAACGTTCTTGTTTATTATTACGCTGCCCCAACATTTAGTAGCGCCAAACAGCGATTTAACTAGCTAACACCCTCGCCGTTACGTAGGGATATTCCCGAAATCGTCGGCATGAAGGTGCCGTATATGAAGAGAAATGCGCTGACATTAGCAGGCTAGACATTCCAGCTAAGGCCTATTTGGAAGGTGTTTTTGACAAGAGGAACGATTTAGGATGAGCTTGAAGCTCTAGATGTCGAACGACTTAACCTAGGTAGTGCAATTCGTTATGCAGAAACTGCCCCCATCCAATTTTTGTTCCATCAGTTAATCTTATGCATAATGTTATTATAAACAAGTAATAATTACACACAGTTAATAACGTGTGCTGGGCAAATGTATGTGTTTAGAGTACTAATAAGAGAGTATTTTCCCTAGAGCTCATTTAAGGGATTGTTTTTTCGCAAATGAATTTTTTTGCAATATTTTGCTTGCCACTCACATAGGATCGGGATAGATGCCTAGACGCGCCAAAGTAAACGGTTAGAAGTATTTTATCGCGCTACTAAAGATTAGCTATTGTTTTTGCTCGTTAAACCTTTCTCGGTATAAAAAAGCGTTCATGCTTTGTTAAGAGCATATGGACGGCTCCGCGTATCGAGATTAAAGCCCAGCTAGCCACAGCGTGCCAATATGGGTCCAAGAAGAGGATTTCACTTAGTAGATATGAAAAGACTTAGTTCAAAATAAATCCGACATATGGCGAGTCGACAAACATTGCTGGTTGACAAACCCAACCTGCAAGTTAAGGTACCATCGCTCACCGGGCATGCCGTACAATGAGCATGCTTTTACTGTAGCAAAAAGCTCTAAAAAAGTACTTTTGACCGTTTAATGTGTGAAGAAAGCCATTCCGATATTCGGCCACAAGCTACCTCATGTGATGAGGGGGAGATAGACTGTGAACGGTTGAAGAACTAGCATTCATGATTGCTAATGTTTCAATCAAAGCTTTTTCTCACGAATATTATGCTCACCTTATGCAGTTAACGCTTCGGACGTCATTTCCCTCATTTTAGCTTCCCTAAAGGCAGTCGCAGATCGATATCAGACGACTATTATGCGCGTGTGAGACTTCTGCACTCGTTTATTTAAAACTATATTCGAGAGACGATTGGATGGCAGCTAAGATGAACAATACATATTCGGCTTAAACAATACAATGCACTCCACTTGAAATTCCCACATATGTATGTACAATTATTTCATAAGTTATAGTAGAGAAAAATAAGTGACCCACCGTCTAGTCAAGTCAGGATTGTATGCATCAATCGTCAGTGAAAGATCTGTTGAGGTCATCAATGGCCGGGTGCGCGGAATTGCCGTTTCCAGGTCTAGGTTCGCAGGACGCGTTGCGTGCTGCATGATGCTTGTCTCCGGGATCATTGCTGTTATTGCTGTGGCTGTAGCTGCCGTTGTTATTGTTTTTGTAATTGAATCGATAATTATGTCACTTATGTTGTACAACACGCCCTTATACTAGTTGATTTAAGCATGTATCAATGCATGGATAAACAGATCGCGCGCGAACGACACTTGCACCCTAGCACATAGTAGTAGATAACTGCAGGAACTTAATAAGGAATATGGGTTCCTTAACGGATGGCTGACGAACGATGTCTACTTAGATCACACAGAGGCCACGGGAGGTGTGTCTTTGTGAATATGGATATGTCTCACTATTACCGCACTACTGCTGCCGTTTGCCGTCGAACCACGTCCTCGACGCGGCGGTCCGGAGGTCCGCGGTCCGAACGCTCTTTCACGAGAGTTCTGTAGCGGCACCGGTTAGTATGCACGAGCCGTCGTGCTCCAGGCACTTCCACCAGTGGTCACCGACGCCGAATGTCTCCAATACGAATGATGAACAAAGCGCAACACCGGCGTGATGAGTGTGACCCAATGATACGGCGGCCGGTACCCACAATCACATCGTCTGTTAACTGTGTCCTAACGGTGATTAAACTACTCACGTCGCGGGTGATGACGACGACAACGACGCCAATCGATTCCAACTGATTCCCACACACTGTTACCGCTTCGACTTCTCTCCCTCTCTCGATTATTCGAACGACGAACGACTCTTAAAATTGTAACCTATCTGCCTCTCACTTCCGTTGTCCCTAGGTCTTGACCTACGTTTCTACTCCTACAATTGTTTTTTTTATGCTACTCTGTAGACGCGATGCAGAATTCGATCGCGCTGATCAGCCTGGCTGTGACCGCTGCATGTCGGCCGTGGCTAGTCCCCGCGATAGTCTGGCACCGTGTGAGTTCGACTAGCATTTTCTGGCCGGGCTTCATGCGACGACTTTCCTCGTCTTCGCCGGTAGGCAGCAGCGGCAGCCAGACATCTCTCGAATAGGGAGAGTGGGCAATTGGTGAGCGTCTCCATGGAAGTGTGGGTTAGTGAGCCAGTGCACCTGGTGCCTGCCTGCCCGCTCGCGCCAGTAGTATTCGTGTCTGTCCATAGTATGTTACGAAAGAGAGCTGATGCGCGGATCTACACACACCTGGCCGTCTGTCAGGGACGGTTTACGTTGCGTGACAGTCGTTGCTGACGATGAGGAAGACGGTGGCTCCATCTGATGGTAGAAGGGAAGAACTGGATATGCCGCTGGCGGGCTCACCTTTGCTGCTGGTGACGGCAGCGGCTGCGGCGGCAGTCACAGTGACGACAGCTGGTTGCCGCCACAAAACGATAGAAACAAACGTCAGCCGACGCTGCCACTGCTACCACCTCTGCCGCCGCCGCGGCTGCACTGTAGCCAGTAAGTCGCTCGCTTTTTCGACCTAGCTTGTTTGCCTGGCCGGCCGTTACCGCAACAAAGTGTAGTATAGCCACAATGACTCATTTCAGTATTAACCCACTCGCTGATCGGTTACCTACTTTCATCGTCACCCACCTAGTCTCTTCGTTTCCGATGGATGGGGAAACGTCGTCGGCAGCTGGCGAAAGCTCATTACGCGCACGTGATGTCTGTCAAAGGTCGCGGCGAACTGTCAACGATGCAATGGCACTGTGGACTACATCGACGGACATTGAAAAAGAAACAAGCAGGGGAGGTGTGGATGGACCGTATTACAAGGAGAAAAAAGGTGGATGGAATGAAGCACAAAGTGCGGACGAATCAATTACATAAAAACATAGAGGAAGCCATATTGACGGCTGGGTTATTGCCGCTTGTAAAAGTCTGACTATACGTGGGCTCGACAGCGATAGAGAGCAACTCAGTTTTTAGGGATATTCTTCCGCCTTACACGGGTAGTTGGCCTTTGGCCACCTTTTAACTTCGTTGATAGCATAGTTCTAAGAACATTAGTATTGCCTACAAGGAGTTTGCCGTCTCACAAGAGCGATGCAATCATTGCGCTAAAAATCTATATGCAACACGCAGAACGCTCAATTGACACCACCTGGACGTTGTACGTAATACGTATCATGAGTATCCTTGATTGTTTATACAAATTCATTTAATTCGAGAACAACGTTTGACCTAAACTTACTGTTGTTTATTTAAGTTATTCGTGTTAAACGTGATGCTGCATCAGAATGAGTGCTTCCGGCGACAGCTATCATTTTCGTATAGATATATATTGTGTTACAAATATGCCTACGTCACAATGCGGATGTAACGTCAGACGAAGATTAGGATGTACGTGACTCATAGAAACACGGGCCGCTCTAGAATGATTATACGGAACACCCAGAAACTGGGCATATGTATCTAAGATTTCCCTGCTATGCGTGTCTCAGTCGTCGTACCCATTATCTCTTGAATGGTCTGTCTGTTCGTGTGTAAAACTGCTAAATTAAAACCAAATAATGTTTCTCTTGCTGTATCGCTGTCAATAGAAAATTTAGGAAGTTCAAGATCAGTAAAACTCGTTTTTATCTAAATGCTAGCTTGTAAATAATTCTGAACTCACCGAACCACTAGCGGTTGCTTGATATAGTTTATATAAAAATTTAGAACAATTCCTCTGTGATCTAGTGGACTCTTGTTACGTAAACGTATTCCCAGACCTGTAGGATATATCTAACGGCATATAGAAATATGAATGAAGCTACCATTAACGGAAAGCAACATCAATTTTGACAATTCGATATTGACTAATGTCCAAGCCAAATAGTATTACCCAATTCGTAAAAACTTTATATTTGCTTGTCCATATAAATAAACATCTTCACACGGCGAGAGCAGGGTCGACATCCTCACAAAGTGAATCTTCCGATCTAGATAATATATGTATACATCTATAATTATCACTTAAAGATACCGCCCACGTATTTGGGTCCGTAGAAGTTATGAAATTGACCTTTAGGACACTGACCCTGACGCAGCGTGAAGGTGCGTATTTAACGCACAAACAAATATCATGTCTCTAAGAGTTGAGTAATATTATTTTCCTTAGAAAACGAGATAGTAGTCAATATTGAATTGCCAAAGTTCTTCATTAGTGGTTGCTTCATTCAGATCCAAGTGGGGCTTTTTAGGTATATGTTACATTTGCTCTTGCTTCACTGCGTCTATAGCAGGCGAAACAGACCATGGAACCGTTGTGGGCAATCGCTAGAAACGTACGTTCACTTGATAGCAATAGTTGGCGTACGATACATACACACTATGATGACCAGAACTGATTTTAGCACCCACCTTCTAGACAATAGAACATCACCACATAAAGTGTTCGATATGCCCTTTTATACCTATAACCGTATAGGTAGCCAACGCTACAAGCGGACAAGTTCTGACGCTGAATGGACGCATAATATTCTATCGTAATTACTTTTGTTTGGACGAATTGTTAGACTGGGCTATGCTTGTTTTAGAACAAACAACAGACGCCATACACCTTGTGCATCAATCTCATGGGCTTTAACCCTCGGGAAATGCAAGGAAATTCTGGGTGTCTGAGAGGTGCAGATTTCACTGGTATCTTCACTAGAGATTCCTGATTGAGTGCTAAATCAATAATCCACCGAAAAAATAATTTGTTAGCTCTACCACTTGACCCGTTATTCATCCTATGATAAACTGGTGGGACGGTGGCCAGGATTCGCGTTTTCGACAGAGGAACAAAGGACGCGCCTTGTTTTCTGCACAGCACGTAGAAATCGCACCGCTTGTTCGGTCTTCTGAAAGGTGCCTGCTGTGAGCCCGACTGAACCCGTACTAGGAAAACGAGCATAGAAAACGATCATTCGTGTCCAAAGTGTGCCTTCTTCCCTGACGCTCGTAGTGATTGCCGGTCGCTTGATTAGTCTTTAGCATCGCCGTCATAATCGTATCTCGATGCAATCTGATTCGAATTGTTGAGTACTTACGATAGGTTGAGAAACCCACTTCACACGCTAGAGTACGCTCTAATTGCTAACTTTTGTATTATTACCTTTGAGTGTAAAATGCCCCTTAGAGCAACGGGTCGCCTTATATGAGTAACACTTTCTGTAACAATTTTCATTATTTCGAATATATTCTATTTTTACAAAACCAAATTGCCACTGTGTGAGTCGTTGATGGATGAAAGAATATTGATGTACACTAAGTGTAAAGCCTGTGGTTTCACTGCCCCTCCTAATTGTTTATGTAGGCGGAATACATCCTTATTTGCCGTTTTGAGTCAAGCGCATGGGATGCATGCGCAAAAGCTGCAATACACCTGTAAAGCGTTGCCCTGATACTGCAGGTAAAATGTAAGACGTAGGAGTCTCAGCGAACCGATGCGATATTCCGAAGCGTACCGCTTCATAACTCTATTACTGGCCTTATATCTAGTTTGTTCAGTAAACGTACTGTCAAAACGTGTTTGGACCCTAATCGTTTTGCTAGCTTCTAGCACACCCACCTCTGTACTAAACGCAGGTGTTTACAAAAGCATCTAGAAAACGAACACCGTTGAAGATATTGATTATGGTTCAAAGTTATGTGCGATACCTGTTGGGTCTTACATACAGTACTATTGTAGAACAAGCGGCTAGCCCCGTCTACCATGAAGCAGAGTATGTTCACACCCGCTTTCGAACCTCCTTTGTCCTTTAATTAATTTATTTAATGGCAAACACGTTACCAGTGCGTTAACACACTACAAACACCGATGAATCCGTTCAGAATCGACGATCACGAATCGGCACGAAAAATTGCTTGTATGTTTTGTTAAATAGTGTATTCGATTTTGACCTAGAACAAACCGGTATCGATACCCAGTGTCGTGTCCTCATTCACGTTTTTTGTTGAAGACAACAGAAAATATTTAGGCCCCTGCTAATTCGCGTAGCTTTACGTATTTTACTATCCCTAATTTCTTCTAGGCATCTGTCTCGTCCTTGCACTGATCTGTTATTAATTTCTTGCCATCCTCAACATAGTGGATCTTCAGCGTTGAACTAGTTTAGGGTACGCCCAATTTTCACCATAATTTTTACATAACACAATCTACATCAGCAATATGATAGAATGCATTACGACCGGCGCAAGCACACGATCAATGCACATGTTCCCATAGCAAAAATGGCGACAGTCAAAAGGAACATGTCGAGTATAGTGTACTTTCACAGAAACTGAAACTGTGATTCGTCCGTGATAAGGTCACTTCATATCTAATAAATACCGTTGGTTTACAAGGAAGCGTGTTGTCAGATACGATGCCCGATAGCCAGGTACATTTCTCACAGGTGGAAACTGACTGTGTGTTTAAATGATGTAGATGTAAAAATTATGCAGGTTAGAAAAAAGACATCGCACAAAAAACCTAAGATGGCGCCGCGACCTTGTTGCCTATGTCCTGTAAAAACGATTGACCGTTAAAAATGTCGAACTTTTCAGTGCTCCCATCCTCGTCCAATTGAACATGTCGGACGCTACCAACAAATTATGCGCAAGGCAAACCTATTGCCAAATGGTGGTTTGTATCTACGGCTTTATACTGGATTAGCAATGATGGATGCGTTTTTAATCGACGCTTTCAACGAATTCCGGACATTTTTCAAAATCCATATGCCCAATATCAAGATCTGCGTCGTAGTTTAATACGAGAAAAAAGTAAATGTGAAATATTAACAAAAAAAAATATTGGAAATAACAAGGACAGGTTAGTATTTAAAAAATTACTGAAAAATATGCACACTGACCAACCAATACAATAAGATATTAACTATTAAAATAAAATATTAACGATTTAATAATTACAATGATTTATCAAGCTAGCAGTATCCATCCGCTTGGCCGCCATCTGCCGGTAAGTATTTGTTACAACATGTCGTGCTGAAATACGCAGACGGACAGAAACATGAATACATAGTGTGCACAAAATGCTGGTATACGGTTTTGTCATCACCCATTGGTAGGGAGTTGGTCTGCAGCAGTGAGTAGAAAGGCCTGAT